AAGTGTGGTAACAAATTGCCACAAGCTCGGTGGCTTAAGACAACAGAAATTTATTCTTTCCCTACAGTTCTAGAAGTTGGAAATCAAGGTGTCAACGGGGCCATCTTTGCTCCAAAGGCTCTAGGGCCTTGCTGTTCCTAGCATCTAGTGTTCCCTTACATTTCTTGGCTTGTTGACAGTGTCACTTTAGTCTCTGTCTCCATCTGTACATGGCTTTCCTCATTTCTCTGTGTCCTTTTCTGTCTCATATGAGGACACGCTCATTGGATTTGCAGTCCACCCTAATCCAGTATGATCTCATCTTTATTGTTAATTATTATCTGCAAAGACTGTTTCCAAATGAGCTCACATTCTGAGGTTCTGGGTGGACATGAACTTTTTGGGGGGGACATTATTCAATCCACTTCAACCCTATATTAAAGCTGTAATAGAATCTAAAAAGTTATTTCTGATTTGTAGTAAAATAACTTCCTTTGGCCACATACCCTACAAGAAAAAAGTGCTTGGTAATATGGAGTCCTACAGGTATTTTCAATAAGATGACACAACTGTCCATGACAAGACAACCATTCAATTACATCCAAAGTGTGATGTTGAAACTTCTCTGCTTCAGTTGAGTGGTTCTCCATCCAGATGGTTGAGCCTTCACCTTACCTTGACAGGAGAAAATCTGCCAGTGATTGAGAACTCTTTCTTTCAATGGGAAGGAGGAAGAAGGAAGAAATAAGTAGAATAAGTGGAGGCCTTCAAACTCAGATATTCCATTCTAAAGTTGACTTGGTCGCCTAGTCAGGATACACTAAAGTACTTTCTGATGCTAGCCGTGACCATCATCACACAGCCAGTCTAAGGGTAGTTGACTTTATTTGTGGGGCAGGGGTATTGGGAATTGAACCCAGGGGCTTTACCACTGAACACCACCCTTTTTATTTTTTTTTTAATTTTGAGACAGGATCCAGCTAAGTTGCTTAGGGCCTTGCCAAGTTGCTGAGGCTGGCCTGCAACTTAAGAGCCTCCCAAGTAGCCGGGATTACAGGCATGCACCACCACACCCTGTGGTAGTTGACTTTAAACCAACTGGTTTTCAAATTTCTAATGCAACCTTGAAACTTCTTCTTTCTTAATTTTATGAGTAAGTAGAGGCAAAGCAACTAGGTTATTTGGGATCAGGGTCCAACCCCTACTCATTGGTGCCTCTCTGCCATCTGCCATGGAGGCCCTGAGAAGCCCACAGGCAGGGGAGCTTTGCCTGGTACTTGTGAGATTTGAGCATTTATTTCTCTGTCCTTGGCTTATCTTTTTTCTTTGACAGCATCTGAAAGGAAGAGTTGTTTAAAAACAAATAACATATGACCTTTGTTGGAGCATTATTTAATAATCATTTCCAGAGCACCTGCTTTGCATTAGGCATGGTGTCCTACCAGAGCCAGGCATGCAGCAGTCAATAAAGGTGACATAGTGCCTCAAAGATGGTCCTTACAAAGCACACCACAAGCACCTATATATCTGTCAGGGCAGATGACAGGCTTTTAACCCTTTGGGTCAGTGTTTTAAGATCCATTATCCATCCAGGCACCATGGTGCACACCTGTAATCCCAGTGACTTGGGAGGCTGAAGCAGGAGGATCGCGAGTTCAAAACTAGCCTCAGCAATTTTGTGAGGTCCTAAAGCAATTCAGCAAGACCCTGTCTCTAAATAAAATGTAAAAAGGAATGGGGATGTGGCTCACTGATTAAGCACCACTGGATTCAATTAAAAGAAAAAAATCCAATATCCACTATGCAAGAAACCATGAAACTTACAAATCTCCTAAGAGGCAGGGAGGGGACAAGTGCCGGGCCTTAAAATTTTTTTGTGTCTGTGGAGGTGGGTACTAGGTGCTCTACCACTGAGCTACATTCCTACCCCTCTTTATTTCTTTTTGTTTTAAGACAGGGCTCACTGAATTGCCCAGGCTATCCTCAAACTTGCAGTCTTCCTGCCTTGCTGCCTAACGTAGTGACTTCTGAGTGGCTGGGATTACAGGCATGCACCATCACACCAGGCTGAGCCTTAAATTTTCATGAGGAAGCCTGAATGGGAAGGAAATACAAGTTGAGATTTGGGAGCATGGGGCTCTGTCTTTCTTTTGTTCTCACACTGTACAAACTTGATTAAGAATAAAATCTCATGCTGGTGACACACAAGCAAATGCACAGGCTTCCTGACTGCACTGGGCTTGCCACACGCTAACATTAGGTTTCTCTCACAAACTCCAGCACCAAGAGACATCATCTCTCCATGTAATCCGCATGCCTACTTAATATCCACGAGATAGTTTTTGTTAGAAGAGTAACAAAAAGCATAGTTATAACCACTTTCGATTTTAAGGAAAAAAAGAATAAAGGTGCAGAAGTAAAAAGGCTAAATTCACGTACCCTAATGGCCAACTAAGAGCAACATTTATTAAACAGCTAAGATCCTGGTGTTTGTTAAAACATCTAAACTCACAGACTCAGATTTAGACAAGCACTCGAACATCTGTTGTGTCACTGAATCTGTCAGTGAAGCGGATTATAGTCTTGGGACAAATTTGAGGGTAATACCATGGTTAGCTGGGAATGTCTTACTGCAGGCTCTGCCCTCTGGATGCAGAGGCTCTGAGGCACCCAGCACCACATGTGTGGGGTCATTTTTTCTGGGTGGACAAGACACGAGCCAAAGCATCGGTAATATATCTAAGGTGCTCATACGTGGCAGAGTGACTCTGTTGTGCTAATGTGGGAATGTCAGGCCTTCAGAATACTCCTTGAATAAGAGATCCTTCAGTCAAATTCCGCCTTTAATGGAAAGCCCAAGGGCCACCATCAGCCCCACCCCTGCCTGGCCAGGGTTTTACAGAGTACTTTTCCTATGACTTTTATAAGAGGTGAGTGTGAAAGGCTTAGTGACTAGACATACCTTACCAGTCTATAACTGCCCACTAGTGCCCTAGGCATCTTTCTTCTTCCTTCTGCAAATACCAAACAAGCTAAGCTTTTCTTCAAAGTCCTACCCAGGATAGAGAGAGGCAAGAGAAAGACAGAGATGTTCCCAGGGAGAAGCTGGCATGCAGCTGGGCTTCCTTCCCCACCCCAGCTTCAGCGCCAGGAACACACAGGGGTCTTAGAAGTAGCACAGCAACCACACAGTGCTTTTCTCTAACCCACTGCTTCATTTATTTTTCTCTCCCTGGAAGTTAGCTTGGAAGTCAGAAAAATGTGTAGAAATGGCCATTTTTTTCTGCCTAATTAGGACCCAGTTCATCTACTCTCACACTGTTCAACAGAACTCAGTTTGAGAAGGGCATAGAATTTGAACTGAATAGCATAAATAGTGATGTTTCTTCAAACTTGGCAAAAAGACCAAAATTTGGAATCAAACACTTGTTGACCTCTAATTCATTTGCGTATTCGGCCCATATTTTTAGTTTGTTTCTGCATTTCACAATAAGTCAATCATATCTCTTTTCTGTGGGTAAGATCATAGTCATCGGGCATTTATTTTGTTTGACAGTCATTTGGTTTATCCGGGTATTACTTCTGTGTGAGGAAAACAAACTGCAGATGTACTAAGACAGCAGTGGCCACATACATGTGGCCTTATCCATTTTTAATAATGTTTCCGAGTCTGTAAAACTCCTTCTCTCCAACTCCAAGGTGATATTTATAAAGAACGGGATTTATGAGAGTGACAGTGCATAGCCTTATAAATATCTTTCCCTTCACAGTTGATTAGCTCACTACTGTGTTCCTTTCCAGGTACTAAGTGGAGAGAAGAGCAACAAGGAAAGAATGATTTATATCATTGTTTTATTCCCCTACAGCCATCTTCATTCCTTATCTAGTGGCATTTCTCTTGGTAACAATAGTGGCTACAGATAATGTACTTTCTGCTATCAATTTCTCTCTTGACAGAGTCACTTACAAAATCTATGTGAGTTGGCTAAATTCTACCTTATGCAGCATTCTTTTGTTGACATTTTTATGTTGGTATTTTCATAAGAATAAAAATGATGATCCTGGGACTTGCTATAGTAAAAAGTAGAATGAGGGCAAAATGAATAAAGCATTTCTTGCTTTACAGGAATCCACTTAAATTAGTAGAATTAAAAATACAGAGATATTTATACATACCATTATATGCTTTGCACTGCAGTTCTACCTAGGCTAGAGGTGGAAAGTCAAATCCCAGTGAGGAACCCCCCCCCCACCCAACCCCTGGTGGCAAATTTGTTAATATAGCAAGATTAGAAGTCGGGGATCTTAAATCTATTTGTAGAATTGCAATTTCCTTGCTCTTTTATCTTTAGCAAGCATGGGCTCATTTAACCTTTTGTTTGCTGGTATGATTTGCATTTTGCATCTGTGGAAGGATCTTGGATCATGGGTGCTGGCAGGACTTACTAGGGCTTGTTTTCCAGCTTGCCTAAAATCAATAACCTCTTTCAGAGGAGTGATTTCCCCCTACCACCACCTCATTTGTGGTGATATGTACTGCTTCTTGCAACTCTGGACTTTCCGGGAAGCTTTTTGTTCCTATGTTGGCCTGGTATGGTGTTTGAAAGCAGGCGAGCACCCTCATCCATTCCTGGTTGGCAGGTTTGGAGGTATCCATGCAGATGATGAGAGGAAACCCAGGTGGTTTCATTTGTCTTCTATATTTTTAGGGCACACTGCAGAGGTTTGGTGGATCAGACTGACCAGTGTCCTTGAGGCTCTTTACCATTTCTATCAGTGTATAATCATCCCTAGAAAGTGAAGAGTGAGCTTCCTAACTAAGTAGACGATAATAATCTATAGGTCATGCCTCAGGATCTGGAGGGCTACTGAGAAGGCACAACGGGGCCCCATCTCACGGTTGGGGAGGGAAGACCAACGGGCCTCAGGGCCACAGGCAGCAGCATTCACCATCCTGCTCTTCTGCCTGTGTCTGTGTGCACGTGTGTTTCATGCATGCTCATGCTCAGGTGTACTTCTAGGGCGGCAGCAGCAGCTGGACGCAGAGCGCCTAGATGACTACGTGAATGCTGATCATGGCCTGTACTGCAACATCCGGCGCTCGGTGGAGCCCCCAAGTGAGAGGCCTGGAGAGCGGCGCCAGGCCGAGATGAAGCGCTTATATGGAGAGAGCGCTGCCAAGATCCAGGCCATGGAGGCCGCTGTGCAACTGAGCTTCGACAAACATTGCGACAGGAAGCAGCCCAAGTACTGGCCTGTCATTCCCCTCAAGTTCTGAATCCTGGGCACGGGGCCCCCAGGGAATGCTCCCTAAAGACAGTCCCCAGCCTCACCCTTTCCCTCTCGGACGCACTCCCATCATCTCTCTTCTATACAATTCTCAGGGAAAGAGGCCTCTATACCGAGATACAGCATGGTCACCAAAATCCTGGTGGACCATCAGAAGGAGGATGTAATGTCAGCCACTTGAAAGTAAGCAGGATGTATACTATTGCCAACATGAAGTATCTTCTCTCACAATGATCATTTTGAGCCAGGCTTAGTGAGTAGTACACGCCTCTAATCCCAGCAGCTCAGGAGGCTGAAGCAGGAGGATCAGGAGTACAAATCCAGCCTCAGCAACTTAGCGAGGTCCTGAGCAACTCAGCAAGACCCTGTGTCTAAATTTAAAAATATGAGCTGGGGATGTGGCTCAGTGGTTAAATGCCTCTGGGTTCAATCCCTGGTTTAAAAAAAATCATCATTCCACTCATTTTTAATGTCAATAATAGTGTTCAGTGCATTAAAAATTCTTGCCTAGTGATAACTGCCTACCATTTTGCCTTCTTACGTTTTCTTTTAACCTGCCTGAACTTCACAAATGCTTTAAATAAGCCAGAAGTTCTCTCCTAATGCAGTTCCTCTAATCCTTGCTGAAACTGATGTGAATGTGCAATGAGACAAATACCACCTCTTTCTATGCAGGAGTCAGCCTGCTTGTTCTGTAAAGGGCCAAAGAATAAATACTCTTGGCTTTGCAGGCCACATAGTCTGCATTGTGACTATTCATCTCTGCCCTTATAGTGTGAAAGCAGCTATACATGGTACATAAACAAATAGATTTGGCTGTGTTCCAATAAAGCTTTATTTATAAAAGCAGGCTGAGGGCTAGGTTTGGTCTGCAGGTGGTAGTTTGCCAACTGCTACTCTACTGGAATGAAAATCACCTGACATTATTGTTAATCTTGTTTTCTCTGCAGAGCTTGAAAGTCATATAGATTTGAGAGCAAAGAACAGTAATTCCCCAACCTGCTCACTTCTGCAGCGTCTTCTGTTGTAGAAAATGCACAATTAAGCTCTTACTATATATAGCAAATATTGCTTTGATAAGGGAATACATTTCTGAGAATGAAAATCTAAAAGTTGATGGAACAGTCCATTTATAATAGCCACCTGCCTTTTAAATAAGTTATTACAGTGCCTTGCCAGGGTGAGCCCGGCTTGACCTGAGAAGATTAGCACATCCATCAAAGGTTGGTGAAAAGATTTAGTATTGACATGTTTCTCCCCAAGAACGCTAAGCTTCACATTCCACCCCTGCCCCGAGACAAATGCATTACTTTCATCAGCCTCGGGTGCTTATTTTTCCAAGCTCTCATTACTGGAGTCGCGATTTGTGCTTAGGTACTACAGATGAAAATCAGAATTCACTTGCCCCTGAGGTGACACATGACTAAAATTTCAAAGCTTTAGTATTTCTCTGTTTTATTAAAAACTCATATGCCTAACTATAAAATAAATGGGACCCAGACACAAATACAAACCAAAGCATGTCTTTACAGCAGGCACTTAAAAATGAAATGTTTCCCTTTGCCACAGCCTCTTGTACCTTCCCCCAAAGAAGCGGTCCCTTGGGTGAATTCCTTTCACTTCTTGGTGTTTCTCATTCCTTCCTCATCCTTGAAATGAGTGTTAATAGTTCCCCCACAGGTCATTGTGAGTACCACATTGAGTAGTACCTACAAAACATAGCACTGGCCACACAGCAAATACTTAACATTGACATTGACATCTGTGCTGAAGATTGAACCCAGGGCCTGTGTGCATGCTATGCAAGCACTCTACCAACTGAGCTATATCCCCAGCCCTATTCTCTGTCTTTAAAAATTGCCAAAACAGGGCTGGGGATGTGGCTCAAGCGGTAGCGTGTTCGCCTGGCATGCGCGGGGCCCTGGGTTCGATCCTCAGCACCACGTACAAATAAAGATACTGTGTCCACCGAAAACTAAAAAATAAATATTAAAAAAAAAAAAAATTGCCAAAACATGCCAGGAGGAATGCAGGGTATAAAACTTCTAAATATGGAGAAATGTTTCCCTGTTAGCTCTTCAAATGGGTGTGCTAGCTTCTGGACATCTTATATCCATCCATCCTTCCCAGGTGTCTCAGATAATTTGATAGATAGCACTCATGGCTTGTTTGTTCATTTATTCAGCAAATATTTGAGTCCTTTCCATTCCAGTTAGCTACACCACAGTCTCTCAGGAAACCCATATTCTAGGTAGTGAGACCAATGGGTGCCATGAGAGTAATGGCATCTATATATTGCTAGAGGCAGCAGCAGGAAGCAAAGAGGAGAGACACTGAGGGAGGACTTCTCAGCCTCAGTACTACTGGTCTTTGGGGCCAGATCATTTTCTATTGTGTGGGAAAGGAGATGTCCTGTATGTTATAGGGTGTTCAGTGGCATCCTTGTCCTCTACCCACTAGATGCCAGTAGCACTCCCACCACCATTTTGACAGTCAAGCATGCCTCCAGATATTGCTGAACATTCCCGGGGTGGGGGGGCAAAATTTGACAAGAAGGAGAAAAGTGATTGTCAGGTTAAGTTCAGGACTGCCGAATAGCTTTCTGTGGTTGGGGAACTCCCAATGGTCTGGGGAGACTAGGGCAGAGTCCCTTGGCTGCTGGCTACAGAAAATACTGGAAATGTAAACATTGGTCAGATCACAAAGGGTGCTTGACAAATGAATCTGAACTTTATCCCAATGCTCTCTCTGCAAAGAAGCCAAGAATTCTGACAGGAAAATGGTGGAGGGTCTTGAAGGAAGGGTGCTCCCAACACCACATGGAATCAGCCTATCAGGTAAACTCCTCAGTTTGGCTCTCAAAGGTATTCCCAAAGTCCACACAGAGCTAAAATAGCTTTCTTGGATATGAACCAGCCTGCTCAAGGGTGGACCATCTGCTCTTACCTCTTTACTAGCTGCCTGCCAGTGAGGATCCCAGTACACGAATATTTTTCCCTTTTTCTTCTAAATCCCAGTTTTGCTGTTGACAGGAATATGATGGCTTTTATCCTTCATGTATAAATATATAAGACTATTAGGGCATACAGAGCTAATTAATTGTCTCTAGCTCTTTGGGCAGTCATAAAAGAATCTGGATGACTCAAATGATAGACTCACATGGCCTTTTCGAAAGGTCTCCTTTGCCCTTGAGGGAAACCCAGATTGGCACATGCAATATTGGATGGAAAAAAAATAGGTTTTTTTTTTCCTCTCTACCTTCAAACTCACTACAACATAGAATACTTCTGACACCAGTTGTGACACCAAGCAGTTCAGCAGACACCAACTGAGTATCTCATAATGAACTTCAATTCTGACACTCTCTGGAGTTAGCATCAGATTCCCACAAGTTAAGGGCTCAGTCCACAATACTGCCCCCCACTTCAGATAACAATCACGATTAGTAGGTTGTTACCTATAATTCTGATCAACAGACTATAAATCAGGGTTCCCATGGCTCCTTGGATTTGATGAATTTCCTAGGATTCTTGAGAAATCCTTCCTTCCATTTCCTATTTATTTTAAAGGATATTACAAAGAGGTCTTATGGAAGAGCTGCCTGGGGCAAGGTCTGTGGAAAGGGATGAAGAGCTCCATGCCTCTGGGTGCACCATCCTCCTGGCAACCCACAGTGCTCAGCTTGCTGGAGGCCCTCCAAATCCAGTCTTTTGGGGGGTTTGTGGAGGCTTCATTGTGTAGGTATGATTACATCATTAATCATTGGTTCTCAACTTGACCTTCAGCTCCTTCCCCTTCTCAGATGGTTGGGGCTAAAAGTTCTGACCCTCTGTCAAGCTAAAAAAAAAAATAGAGATGCTCTCCAAAGAATAGTGATATTTATTTGAATAGAATAGCATTGCAAGGAGAATGTGCATGCCATTAAACCATGAGTGTGTTCAAAGAGGTTGAGGCAAGGGGAAGTTTTCAAAGACAAAATGAGGAGGATTACATAAGATATTTTGAAACAATCCTTTTCAATAATGATTAGTAACCAGAGTGATATCAGTCCAAGGTTGAACAGTCACTGGACAGATGTCCTTGTGAAAGTACTTTTTGTATAAGGTTGCAGTGGCCTTTGTGTAAAGCTGTGTTGCTGGCAGTCTTTTGTGATAATTACTATCAGCCTACCATGTGTGAGAACCTTCCTTCAATACCTTCTGGCTTTATTTTTTGTTAAGGTTGACACAAGCAACTCCATTTTGATTCTGACAATTTTCACACCTATAATCACAAGGTTGGATTCCCTGGCCCATCCTGAGGCCATCCAGAAGCCCACCAAGGGTTGCCTCATTAGAACAAAAGATGCTCCTGTCACCAGGAAATCCCAAGGGATTGAGGAGCTCTGTGTAGGGAGCCAGAAGCAAAGACCAAATAAGTATTTCTTATTTTGTATCACAATATCATCAGTGGAGGCAGGCAGACCACTTACAAACCTATTTTAAAAAAGAAAAAAGAAAGAAAGCCAGGTATGGTGTCACACCCATAACCCCAGAAGCTCAGGAAGCGGAGGCAGAAGGATCACAAGATCAAAGCCAGGCTCAGCAACTTAGGAAAGTCCTAAGCAACTTAGGGAGACCCTGTCTCAAAAAAATAAAAAAGGACCAGGGATGTGGCTCAGTGGTTGAGTACCCTGGGTTCAATCCCTGATACTGATATTGCTGGCTACTGGTGACGAGTTCTGCTCCCTCAAATGTTGATGTTTGAACATTAGAGAAACACACCAAGGCAAGCATATAAAGCAGGATTTATTTAAAAAGGGGTAACATAGACTTCTCCCTGGAGGGAGAAGGGGGCCAGAGCTAGTATCCCAAGAAGCAAGGTGTTCTGCCCTTTTTATTCTAGGTTTCCTTTATTCTCCTGCCCATTTCCCTTCATCTTTTTTCTTCCTGCTTGCATGACTAGGCCCAGGAATGCTCAGTGGGGTGGCCAAAAGGTGGGAAACAGGTGGGCTAAAGGGGGAAGGGCAGGATGGAGCAGCCCAGGACACATTAACAACCTTACAGCTCCCGTAGGGGAGGGGCAATTCCTGGGACAGGTTACCTTGGCAACAGGTTGGAGCAGGGGGAGATTCTTGATAAAGGTGAAGAAAGGGCTCTGAAGAAATTAACATTTCAATCCCTCAGGGGACAGTCTTCAACTTGAGGACTCACTCATTGGCCTCCTTGATCTGACCTGATTTACCCATCTATACTGACTGCCTGTACCAGAAAAAAAAAAAAAAATGTTCAACCCCACTGGTAATCAGAGAACTGCTAATTAAAATAAGAGTGATATTTCACACCCTTTAGATAGGCAACTGTTTAAAAAGAGTGAAAATACCAAGTAAAGGCAAGGATGAAGAGAGCAGAAATTCATGCTGAGATGAGAGTGAAGGTCAATCCACCATGTTGAAGAGCACAGGGACCTATAAAGTTAAAACCCACACATGTGACCCAGTGATCCTATTCCCAGATATATGCCCAAGAGACACTCTTCAGTGTGGGCACAGGGAAACACACATGACAATGGTCACTGCAGCATACTATTAGCACACAATAGGAAATAAATTAAGTGTGCCATCTATGGGACATGGGTAAATAAACTATAGAATGTTCACAGAAGAGCAATACTATATGAGCCTTTAAGAGACTTGAGCTAGACTTTAAGGTCAGGCAGCAGCGACCAAAAGGAGGCAGATTTAAAAAGGCTACTGAACGAGGCTCTATTGAGATTTTGCTCTCGGGCGACCTTACATAGACTACATGTACAATGATGATCCTGTTGAGTTTTCGAAAAGGAAGCTATATGGGTATAGTATGATAGAATTTATACAAAGCCTTAAAAAAATATACCATGAACACATATATGTACTAAAATCTGTAAACATGAATGGAAATGATTCATACACCAACTTCAGAACAGTGGTTAGTTCTGAGCAGGAAGAGGGTGGTGCACCATTTGAAAAGGCTTTTTTCCATGTCTCTAATATTTATTTTCTTTCTTTATGGGGGTAGATACCAGGGATTGAACTCAGGCACTCAATCACTGAGCCACATCCCCAGCCCTATTTGGTATTTTATTTAGACAGTGTCTCACAGAGTTGCTTAGCACCTCACTGTTGTTGAGGCTGGCTTTGAACTCATGATCCTCCTATCTCAGCCTCCCAAGCTGCTGTAATTATAGGCATGCGCCACCGCGTCTGGCTTATTTTCTTTATAACAGAAAGGCTAGAGCACTCACCTAGCGTGTGCAGGGTGCTGGGTTCGATCCTCAGCACCACATAAAAATAAAATAAAGGTATCGTGTCCAACTACAACTAAAATAAAATATTAAAAATAAGAAAGGCTATGATAATAACCCAGCTTTGATGGAGACTCCCATATCCATCTAACTCTTCTGACATAAAAAGAGTTTATCTTTC